TATATTACTTGTGTGGTGTAGAAGATAATTATTTAAGAATGTAATTATGTAAGAATGTTAACATTCTTGTTATAATTCTTTAGTATATTACTTGTGTGGTGTAGAAGAGAATTATTTATGTAGAGATACTGCTTGTAAACCAATGATGGTAAGATGATGTCATGGGGTAGGACTGGATAAGTCTGACTTCTTCCTACTCCATTCAAGCATGTACTAGGTATAAGCAAATTGATATTGGATTATGTGTATGTGTGTTGTCAATTGTTTTTACATGCTTGAAAGAATAAATCAAATCAAATCAAATCAATTAATGTCCTCTTTTCTTTTCTGTTCCACTTTTCTCCTCTCTTCTGCCATTGATTTCTTTTTTGTTTTAGATGACAGAACCTATCACTTTCAGGCTGAGGACGACCAGGACTGTCAGATGTAAGTGGCTGCTCTTGCCTGCCCATTGTGTGTGTGTGTGTGTGTGTGTGTGTGTGTGTCCTTCTTGTGCTAAGTGCGTCCTGTTTACCATCTCGACCACTTCCCAGTCAGACGCTTGACCTTGTCTTTACCTCCCACCTCCTGCCTTTTTACACCAGTAAGAAACCTTCAGTGTTACTCCATTTTCCCTCTCATCTCCACCTCTCAACCTACTCTCTCCTCCTCCCTCTACATCTTCTCCTTCTCTGTCTGTTATTCCCAGTTTTGTCTGACTCACGTCTCCTCTGTGCCCCTCCTGTCTCTCCCCTCCACCAGCTGGATCTCGGTGCTACAGAACAGTAAGGAGGAGGCGCTGAATCAGGCCTTTAAAGGGGACCAGCATGTCGGTGAGAACAACATTGTGCAGGAGCTGACCAAGGCGATCCTGGGGGAAGTGAAGAGGATGACGGGAAACGACGTGTGCTGTGACTGTGGAGCGGCCAGTAAGTGGCAAAGACAAACCCTCAAACCCTGTTTTTTTTTTTTAACCAAAGACATGGACTCCTTAGCAATTGATTTCAAGTGCAGTGAACTGTCTTCCTGCAGACATGTACAGTTATACACTTAGACAGTACATACTGACATACTCTCTTATACTTGGAGTATCTAGACCAGACTTGGCTACGCTTTGGCTTGGTCACATCGCCTCACACTGCACGGTGTGAGAGCAGCTATTACTTTTCCAGAGACCATGTTTTTCCACAAGGACACATCAAAGTTGGCTCACATGCTGCAGACATTTAGTGGTTTTCGCTCAGGGACAGTGTGTCACCCATATTCGTTTCTTCCTCTTTTCCCTTGAGCCATTTCCCTACTCTTCTCTCCATTATTCAGACAATTTTCTTTCCTTTTCTCTCTCTCAGATCCAACATGGCTGTCCACCAACCTGGGCATCCTCACCTGCATTGAATGTTCAGGGATCCACAGGGAGCTGGGAGTCCACTACTCCAGGATCCAGTCCCTCACTTTGGATGTACTTAGTACCTCAGAGCTCTTGGTAAATCACGTTTGGTATCCATCTTCTCGCTGAATTATCTCATGTCTTCTGTTTTTTGTCAGAGTAATCCAATGTAATTTTATAAACAGATCTCTGGGGATTTTACGCGGGATAAAATTGGAGGAGAGGAAAGGAAGAGACAGTGGGTCTAGAACAGGCAAGGAGTAATAGGAGGAGAGATGGACAGTAAATCAAGATGGGGTGAAAGTGGGGAGAAGAGCATCATCCTTGGCCTCACTCTCTACTCCAAGACCTTTGGAAATCTATCAATAGCTGAAATTGTTTGGCTTTTCTAATCGCTGATTGGTGGAGAGATTTGCTGCCACTGGGACAGTCGGGATGAAATGCCTCCAATCATTGCTTTCCACAGTTTGACTCCAGTCGTGTTAGACACAGTCCAATGGGATGTTGCTCAGTCTACAAGGCTCCGTATACACAGTTTAAAGTGTGCTGTGTCGCGACTGAGGTGTGAGCTGGACTGATGACTTTCAAATAAATGGATGTGGTGCAGAAAACGCCTCAAGTTTTAATTTGTGTGTTTGCTCCATAGCTGGCCAAGAATGTGGGGAACGCAGGCTTTAATGAGATCATGGAGGCTTGTTTAAGTGCTGAGAATGTGGTGAAACCCAACCCAGCCAGTGACATGTAAGTCGTCTCCCCCCCCCCCCTCTCTTCCACACTCCATCTCATCTCCACCTCTCATCCCCCTCCTGCTGCGCTTGATGCGCCTTCTCACTTATCTCACATATATGTGACTTGTTCCAGCTTGATCAGGCACTGAAATGGAAATCAGTTGATCACAAAAACCCAATGTAGAATGTGTATTATGATCAGTGGCTTTTGAATAATGCTTCCCTGGTTTTTTAGGAAAGGTGACACATTCTCATAAAGGCCATAAATCACACAAAGGAACTACCATCTGTAACCAAACATCTGTGTCCGTGTGTCCTCCACCAGGCAGGTGAGGAAAGACTTCATCACAGCCAAGTACATAGAGAAGCGCTTTGCTAGGAAGAAGTGTCCTGATGCGACGTCGCGGCTCCGCACGCTGTGTGATGCCGTGAAGGCTCGGGACATCTTCTCCCTCATCCAGGTCTACGCCGAGGGACTTGACCTCATGGAGCCCATTCCTCTGGCTAATGGACATGTCAGTACACAAAGCACTCAACCTGTGACAGAAACTTTATATCGCTTCAGTTTCTACAAGCACTTCATATTCTCATTGGTTTCCTACAGGAGCAAGGGGAGACGGCCCTTCATCTCGCCGTCAGACTGGTGGATAGGACATCTCTTCACATCGTCGACTTTCTCACTCAAAACAGGTAAACAAAGCAAGAAAACAACAGGTCAGCCATGAATCTGTGCTTCCCTTCAGCTGTTTTACTGACAGCTGGAACAGTTTTGACTGAAGAGAACAACATAGACAGGAATGACACTAGATTAAAGTTATTTTCTTAATCATCTGTGATGTACCTTTCTTTTTTGAAACACTGATTCAGTGTTATTACGCTGTCTTTTCTGATTATACCTATTATATACTGATTAAAATAGTATGTAAATACAGCAAAATTAACACCGAGCTACTTTTTTTCCCCTCCTTTACTGAAAGATTTTTGATATCCCTGGAGCAAAGGGGCTGGACAAGACAAACCAAGCCTTTATTTTATGCCTCCAGTGGTGGGATTTACAGTTTGCCCTCTCTGTCTGTGTCCCCTGGCAGCTTGAACCTGGATAAGCAGACAGCCAAAGGCAGCACAGCGCTACACTACTGCTGTCTGACCGACAACAGTGAGTGTCTCAAGCTGCTACTGCGAGGAAAGGCCTCCATAGAGATTGGTAAGTAAATGGCATTCACTATCCAGCTCCTGTCTTCTTTTGCTTTTTGTCTGTCTCTTTGTTTTTCCTCATAACGGGTCTGTGTCCAAAATCACTCCCACGGTCACCCCTTCACTTCCCCCTCTGTAATGGACAGTCAGTAGTAGGGATAGGGTTCAATAGCATTTTATTGAATTTGAATTTAATTTCAAAACCACTTATCAAATCCTATAAATATTTATTATAACAATACATTGATTTATATAGTGATTTTCAAGGAACTAAAAGACACTTAAGGAGTTTGCTAGTTTAAAAAGATGTATTTTTATTTCACTCACTACAACAGCAAAACCTTTCACTTGTAAAAGAGTACTTTTACATTGTTGCAGTATTGCTTAGGTAAACAATCTGTGTACGTCTTCCACCAGTGTCTCATACAGTTTCTTTTCAGACTCAACCCTCATCTCTTGCTCATACACACACACACACACACCTCCTCGGGTCCAAATCTTTCAGGTTTAGCTCTCAGAGACGTGGGCTTTCCCAGCAGACCGACTCGTTCTCACAACAGGGGTCTTTCTGCTCCGCGCTCACATCGAACAACACAGCAAGAGAGGAGGAGGGCGCAGAGAAACTACAGGGTTGTTCAGTGTGGGAAAACAATCTAATTACACATTTCTCACGACAGAGTGAAAAGGGCGGGAAGAAAATAGACTGTGTGTTTGCGCTCATGTGACACATGGATACAACAGTGATTAGATGTTTTGTTATTTTCCCTCGCAGCTAATGAGGCTGGGGAGACGCCGCTGGATATTGCTCGGAGGCTCAAACACCTGCAGTGTGAGGAGCTGGTGAGCGTACTGTGTTAAGACTTGGCTTATCAATGCGACAAATGTCACTTCCTGAAACCATGTCAGTCACGTGTATTTGTATGTGTGCGGACTTGTGCGTGTGCAGTTGACCCAAGCGCTAGCGGGGAAATTCAATGCCCACGTCCATGTCGAGTATGAATGGTGTCTGCAGCATGAAGACTTGGACGAGAGTGATGAAGATCTGGACGAGAAGGTGAGAGAACGCTTTGTAAGAACGAATAATAACTTCACATTTATGTAGATTTCTTGAAAAGGTTTTATACAAATTGAAGAGAAAAATTCATTTTAGGGGCTGTTATCAAGTGATATCACAGAATCAAAGTTAGGCTAAATCAAAACCAGCTCTGATCCTCTGCTGCCCCTCCAGCCCAGCCCTCTCCGGAGAGACGAGCGTCCAGTCAGCTGTTACACCCCGAGCAGTAACTCCCACCTCCCCTCGAGCCTGGGCTCCGGAGGCCGCGATGCAGTCAGCCTCGTGAAGGACAAACAGCGCACCTACATGCCCAACCTGGTCAACAATGAGACTTACGGCACCATCCTCAACGCTACCACGCCTCAACCTGCCACCACGTCGGCCCCGCCCCTGCCCCCAAGGAACCTGGGTAAGCGCAGATATCAAAGTGAAGATGATGTCTGTAGCAGTATTAATTACAGTTAATCTCAGGGTGAAAAAAACGATCATTTTATAAATCTTAGATAAAGAAAAGACGTTAAAGTGCCTTCCAGCTAGAACTGAATATAACTTCTTTGCTTGGCTTGTGGAAATTATATTCCTAAAATATTTCTCAGGGCAACAGCCTCATTTAGATCTACAGAGCCTGTGAGGACAGTCTCATTTGGCCCTGTATCACTGGACTCCAAGGCCTTCATGTTAATTACTCTGTGGTTCCGAGTGACATTTTGGCCTGTTTTAACATCCCACACGTCTCTGGCTAGTGAAGCAGGTAAATGTCACATTGGAGACAGATGGATAATATGTTTTTCTAGAAAGCTGTTGACCTCTTCACTAGGGAGTTAGCCTGGTGCATCTGAATGATCTGAAATCTAAAGTCAAGATTTCTCTGAATTCTGAAATGAAGTAGTATAGAAAAGCCAGTTTAGTATAATGAAAGACATAGGTGCTTAAAAATGTTGCTGTGCTGCCCGCCTCACCTTGCCGCAGCCCCCAGCCTCAACACTCTGCACATTTCCTCTCCACACTAACCATCACTCTCCCAGTTAATTACACCCCAATGGAAGCTGCTTTTGAAGTGGACTGGTCCAGTGGCTGGTCATGGCAGAGCTGTGCATTTGCTCTGAATAAGCTCCCCTTTCTCCATCTCTTTTCCCAGCCCAGTTACCCGGCCTGGGAGGGATCAGCCAGTCCTCAGCGTCCAGCAGCTGGAAGACTGGTTCTTTAGACCCGGGTGGAAGACAGCGGTCATCCTCAGACCCCCCCAACATGCACCCTCCTGTCCCTCCTATAAGACTCACCTCAACTGGAGGTATGGATATGACTAGAACTGGTGCTCCTTCTCAGATTAGACCATTTTGAAAGCGAAGGCATGTTATCTGTCTGTGGAGGCCAGCTCAGTGTGTAAAGAGGCCTGTAAACATTTCATTTTCTTAATGGGATGTCCAAAAAAGGTGAATTATAGTACAAATATGACAAACGGTCAAGAAAATTCAGTGGTGTGTTCCGGCATAAAACAGACAAAACCAATCAAGTTGTGTTTGTCCCAGGTCTGGGTCCTCCTCCTGTGGCGAAGATGGAAGCGATGAGCATACAGTCTAAGTTGGGCCAAGGACCACTGGGATCACGAGCCGCGGCGCCAAAATCTCCTGCAGGGTAAGAATATAAAAACACATGTGTGTATTCACAACAGTTTGTCAGGCCTGTGATGCCTGGAGGGGAATCATACGTGTCAGCGCATGCAGAAACAAGGCTAGATGCTTCACCATGCTTTATCCTGTGGTTGTGTATCTTGCTCTGGCGTATGTCCGCCTTGTAAAGTGCTGTTTGTTTCCCAAAAGGAAACAGCCTTCATGGCTGCTGTTTAGCCGCTTCATTTGCTTCCAGATTAAGTTCTGCATCGAGCCAGACGAGCAGTAACCGTCCCTCACAGTCGCCCTTTTGTCTTTTTTATCCCCCACAGGGTTGTAATAAATCTGCTGCTGAGCAGCACAGTTTTCTGTTTGTCTGTTTTCATATGGCTGTTAACCTTGTTGATGACAGTACATTTTTACATTGTTTTTCTGCTCCTCAGCAATGATAAAAGCTTCAACAGAGGACTTCTAAATCGAACAGAATCTGTGGACGGACCAGGTGAGTAAACCAGATACTAGAGGCAAAATATCAGCTTCAGCGTAATCAGTGTCTGTCCAGTGTTCACAAGGTTCCACACCAGTTGTTTTACTCTGTCAGATCCTGTTTCTTCAGTGGAAACATGGAAAGTTTTGTTGTTGTTGGTGTGATATAATTTCCTCTTTCCATTCCAGCAAAGGAAGTGCCAGGATGCCCCCAGAACTCTGTAGGTCAGGCTCTGCCTCCAGCCCCCATGCCGAGGAAGGCCTACCCAGTGAGTCCCCGTCTCTTCCTCTCATTATCGTCCATCCACTGTCGACTGTGAAATGCTTCTTCATTGATGCTACTGATTCACTGGCTGCTGATTTTTCCGAGTCATGGTTTATTCCGTTGCTAGTGTTGTTCCCTTCAGCATGCTGCAGGTCGACCTATTGTCTCAGTGTTTCCAGCGTCGACTCACTTGTGCAGTAAAGTTCCTTCCTCTATTTTAGATCAGTGCTCAGGCAAAGTGCTTCATTTTGTGGAGGAGCTGTTTAGATTGTGTTTCGCATTAGTCGGTGGAGAATTTTTGTATTATAGCTGTTGTTCATTTTTATTTTGTGCCTTTATCTCAGATCCTGCGCTGCACCGATTACAGTGCATGTTAATTTCTTGACGAATTAGCAGTTTCAAAGGTCTTATAACCACTATTTCTAGTCAGTGTTTCCGCTATTAGGTCGCTGTAAAATTCAAATCACCTTATTGTGCAAAGAAATTCATCTTGTCAGAGGTGCAGAACAATACACAGAAATGACTCAAAATACACAAAGTGAAGCAGTACAGATGAAGCATAAAGCCAGTTCTATTTGTATGAACAAAATAAACTTACATGTAGGCTTTGCACTGCACAAGTACAGATGTTATCCTTGATGGGGAGTTACTTTATTTACAGAAGCCAAAATATTTTCATCTGAAGACGTTGTTCATAGTCATCTCGTGGTGCTCGTGTCCTGTAATGTAATCAGACACAGTAGAAGACAGTAGACTCTCTCTGCTTAACTTTGCCTTTGCCCAATATTAAAAAAAGCTAAAATACACACTTGATAAATCCTGTTTGTGTGCTTGTCACCTCAGAAGCAAAGGCCAAAGCGAGTGAAAGCCATCTACAACTGTGTAGCCGACAACCCAGACGAGCTGACCTTCTCTGAGGGCGAGGTGATCGTGGTGGATGGAGAGGAGGACCAGGAGTGGTGGGTCAGTATCTCTCACGCCGGACACTAGATGCCTGGATTTGTTTTTTGTGTTCTGATACTTGTATATGAGCTTAGATTAAAGCACAAAGCGCTCCCAGTCCAAGGCCTTTCCCACTCCGGTCCCATTTTCACAATGTGGATGTCAGTGTGCTCGGTAACCATGGTGGCTGAAAGCAAAAAAAGGCATGACCCCATTCTGGCCTCATTCTTCATCCCCTCTGTGTCGTCCTCCTTTTTTTTTTTCCACGCCTGCTGTTCCTGCTTCCTCTGTGGAGCCCCTTGTGTGAACACTGAGCAGCTGTAACTTGTTTTCCTCTGAGCCACCTCTGCAGATATGACCGTATTTAGTCACTCTGCATGGACCCAAAGTCCCCCGAGGTCCCCTCTATGCTTCCTCTCTATCCTGCATCTAGCAGTGTTATCACTCATTTTGTGTCTTTAATATTGAAATTAAAGCTCAGTAATGAGGGGATGAAGTCATTGTGGTGGTTTAGTTGATCAGGCCTCTTATACTGTATGACTCAAGCCTTATAATAGTATAAAAAAATTTCATAGATGTCAAATAAATGATAGAAGGATGTTTTGTTGTTTATAACATGAATCTTTAACTCTCCTATGGGCTTAGCTTAGACTGTATCAGCACTTTGCTTATTTTGTAGTTTCTCTTCCTCACTGGTCTGTCATGTCGCCCATGTCCAAACATTGTTGGAGCAGAAACATGCCCTAGCTTTTTTATTTTCAGGTATAGAAGATGTTTAAAATGACCTAAATGGAGGAAATAAGTACTGTCTTCTTTCTCGCCCAAGGTAATAACACTGCAGGAAAGACATTTTAAATGTATTCCTGAGATACTTGTTGTGTTGTTGCCTCTTAGAGTAGGCGACCTCTGTGTGCTCCTTTAGGTGGTGTTTCAAATGGATGAATGTTGGCACTGATCTCCCAGTTTGATTCAGTCGATTTTATTTTGTTTTGATTCTTTGAGATTTGACTTGCAGTGTAAGTCTCATTACGTCACATACCAGTTGTGCAAACGTGTAAAAATAGAATTTATTCTTGGAAATATCTTATTTCAACTGCATTATTTATACTACTACTGTGTATGTGACTAAAAATAAAATTTTTGTGTGGGTTGTAATAGTAATGTTTAACCGTCTTGCATCCTGAACTGTATCGTTTTATATCAAGTAATCAGTCCACACATAAAAATGGTGCAAATGCAGATATGCTTACAAAAAAAGCGCATTTGCAAACACTGATTTTGGGATTTTATGACTCAATATTGAATCACAAAGATTAAGATTGCATTCATCCATTAGAAAAAAAATCTATTTTAACCATTTACTCCTATTAAAGCGTTTTAGTACTGTGTTTTTAGTTGAAATCAGTCAAATGTTTTAGTGTTTAGTTAAATTTATGCTCTCCAGAAGAAACCAGACAACGCTGAAGGCATTCTGTTTTGAAGGTGGCTGTTTTTCAGCACTGACCTCATCTCTGACTTCCTGCTTTACAGCTGGGCCACATCGAAGGCGATCCGCTGAGAAGAGGAGCCTTCCCAGTTACATTTGTACACTTCATGGACTGAAAAGTCACGTCGGGTCTCAGGAACTGCCCCGGGTTGCAGCTTCCCTCTTTCACCCGTGTGTGTCTGCCAGCCAGCAAAACATCCGCCATCTTCCTTGTGTTTGCTGGCGGCATCATCTTCCTCATTAGCATCATGAGTGAGTTGTTGAAGTGCCAGTGCTGCACCATCACCTCGGTTACAACTTTCTGCGTGGGTGTCATCATGGCAACCGTAGCAGGCTTTTTGCAGATAGTCTGGGAGTCACCCTGGACTTGTAGAACTGTGTGTGGTTTTAATGCTTGCAGATAATGTTTCTGACAAACTCTATGATTTAAAAAAACCAATGATTGTAGCGAATGACCTCCCACAATAAATACACTTTTCTTGTCTTTATCCGTGTTACAGAATGAAATGACGTGGCATAATGAAGGTTGTATGTACAGTATTCATCTGTTTTGTCCATCTGCATTGTACAGGCAGTCCTTTAAAGTGATAGAACTGAAAGAACACAGCAGTGTATTTTATCTTAAATGTGAACATAGTCAACATGCTTACATTTCACCTCTGTGCATGAGCAGTTTTTAAAAGCTTACCTGCTTCTAGGTGCAACTTTCTAACTCTGTAGTCGTCCTCCACTGTGGAGGATGTTCTAATGGTGCTAAGTTAACCCTGAAATATGCTAGAAGCTGCACTCAAAGGAGTGCTTCCCTCTCCCTGTTTCAAAGAGGGAAAGAAGGCGGATGCTGCATGTGTAAGTAGCCTTCAACTCGCCAGACCTGGGAGAACCCACTTTCTTGCGTATGTGTTGAGTAATAGACCTGCACATGAATTCCACGCCATGCATCTTCTACTAACACACTTCTACTTGTACTATTTTAGGATGATGTTTCAGAGCGACATTCCTTCCTATTTGCTGATTTAGGTCAAATAACGAGACTGACTGGAGCTGCAGCAGCCAGTAACTAACTTCATTGCGTCGGACACGTCAGGCTATCTTTGCCTGTCATCTGCCTTATTAGAGGAAAAGTGTGTGTGCATGTGTGTGTGATCTGCACAGACTAAGAGAAGGAAAGAATACTGAAGTAAAAGGAAAAAAGTGTGAGAATGTGATGGAAAGCGGGCATTATCTGTGACTTTTTGCTTCCACATGCTCTCAGACGTTGACAGGCTTTTCTTTCCACCAGTGAGCTAAATTAAGTCTCTAACTTTGATGCTTTCTATACAACAAGACGTAGAAGAGTGTCCTACTTAGTTAGGCCTCTCATATCTGTACATCTCTGGGGTCACATGTAGAAGCTTTATCTATAGTGTTATGAAATGAATATAAAACATACAATTTAATTAACTTCGTCTTTTGGTTGCAGAGCAACTTTCTTTTTGTTCATACTGTTGATACTTAGATGTTTAACCTGAAAACCAGAGCCTTATATGGATTTGTGAATGACCTGAAGAGAAGCATGTGAATCATAGCTGATGCACTCTCTTTATCGTGTTTAATATTAACCCACTGGAAACAGTAAGATTTAATGATCTATTAATGTAAATAGATGTTTTTGTTTTGATATTTAAATGTAAAAAAAGAGTCGAGTTACCCTGGGCAGTGTATGTCTTTTAATGCACTGTGGCAATGAGCTGGACCTGTGTACACTTAAAACACAAACAGACTCGTACACACACACACACACACACACACACACACCTGGGAAAATTAACTTAGTTCATTCTCATTCACTATCTGGGGATCACTACATTGACTCAACTCTGTTGTGCAAGTACATGGGAAAATGAAACTGGAATAATAAAATATGAAATAATACAAAGCCTTGGTCTATTTCTTAGGGTTTTAAGAAGTTGATAAAAATATTTGTTCAAATGTTTACATCTTTCCTTGTTTGTTCTTCTTTAAGCTAACGGCCTGCATTTTTATAAATATAACAGTAGTGATCTTTGACAAACCAGAAGTTGGATGATGAATCAAGAGCTCCCTCTGATGGGGGATATTTCAACGAGTTCACATCCATGCTCCAGAATCCACTGCTGCTGTTTGCAGGGAGAACATTTTATCAGTTATCAACCAGACAAAAACCGCAGCAATTCATAATAAAGACGAGACGGTTGCATGACACTAAAGGAAAATTGAGAAATTATACTTTATTTGGTAAAATAATTAAAAACAAAACCCACTCCTCTGCTGTACCACATCAAACTATATATTATTGTCGCAGATTTTCAACCCAGCCTTAAACAGACCATGGTGAAAACAGAGGACGGGGAGAGGGTGTGCGTTATGTACAAGGTGAATCAAGTTAGTACCACCACTGTAAACATGTTTTTACTACACAAATGTTTCTAACAGCTGAGTAAATCAAATCTAGTGAAGTGAAAACAAAGACTTATCAAATCTGAAAGCACATCAATCTTTTGGTACCAAGAAATTTAAAGTGTAAAACAAGATCAAATAAAGAAAATAAAAAATGGGTAAACCCTCAAATTAAGAAGAGTAAGCTTCCTCAGGTGACAAAATACAGGATGTGGGGCACAGTTAAAGCCACTTGGTAACGTACCTCTCAGTCAAATAGTGACCACTGTTGTATCAATACTGTTCCAAAACAAAACACAAAGACACACAAAAGGATGTGTAAACTTTGAAAAGGATCTGAGCAGTTTACACATGAAGAAAACTAAATCAGGTGCATGTCAGCAAATCTGTGTACCGTGTCATTTCTCCGCTGATGAATACCTCCCATGTACATCTATCATCCATCTCCCATATGCTGACATAGGTAGGCAGGGAGGGACTACAACAGTCACTATTTTATACCATCATTTACTTTACATAATTCATATTATACTGCTAAAACTCTACAGTGTTTTTTGTGCAGCAATTTCCTTCCTTAACTTTCCTTTTGCTTGTTTTATTTTGAAAGGTCAAAGAAGGGAGGTAAAAAAAAATAATAATTCCAGGGAAATGATTCAGACTTCACAGTAGGATGATGGGAAAGTGACAGTATCTGTAACAACAGATACTGAACACAGAAAACAACAGTGGATTTGTCCTGCAGTGAAACTCGGTTAAAATATAAAAAGTTGAAAAAGAAAACTGTTGCATCTTTTGGCAATCACAGTGCAGCCGTGGTAGTTTCCTGATTTACTGATGTTGGTTTTGCAATTGTTTAACTTCTCTTCTACACAGATCTAAGCTCTGGTCCGTTTCTCCGGCCTCAGGACTTGTCTGACGTCAGAGCGCAGTCAAACGAAGCCGACAGCACCTTGCAGATGGACTGAGCCTGCTCCTGTTCAGACAGATGATAGGCAGCATACAAGGGAAGGAATATAAACGGGTAAATGAGCCCAGACATATGACATACAGATATTCTTTTTGTTTTAAATACCCCCCCTTTTTTTCATTATATCATTTGCCACACTCACTGAGCTGCTACACTGGTACACCCAGATGCTGCACGCTTCTTGTTTTGCATCGGTGGTTTTGAGAGCCAGGAGGTTCTTCCCTGCACCGAGGCCATCGTCGTAACACAGCATACGCACTATCAGGTACAGAGGGTGGCGATGCAGCACATCCTGGTCAATGGTACAATTAAAAACATCTAATTACTGACTGATTAGCACAAGGATGTTTTTTTCTATTTGTAAATGGGGTCTTGAAAGATAATCATCCTGTATCAGCATACTAACAGTAGTAGATCTATACAATAGAGCAAAATCAGTTCACACTTCTTCAGATCAGGATGTGGATTCAACATCATGGGAATTGTTGAAATATTTGAGTACTTGTGCAGAACCATTCAATGCCGAATTCACAAACCATTCTGTTTGGCTGTATTGATGACCCAGCAATACTGCAGAGTCCAATCAATGACCGCTCAATCTATCATAGTGTCTACCATTACTGTATATCACTTTTCTGTTGCTTTGCTACTCACACACTGATTCAGTGAGGCCACTTTGACGCCGTACTTGGAAACTCCCAGAATCATCTCCTCATCTCCAGGCATGAAGGGCAGCTTTCCATCTTGCTGTAAAATGGAGCAGACTATTTCTAGTGCATTCTCCAAGGTATCACAAACTAATGTGACACTGGCTGCTGTAATCCTGAGGAAAACTGGAAATCAGTCATCGCTATTTGTTACCAGATTGCTAGTGTCTCCATCTGTTTCCAGCTTCTTACCTGAGCAGCATCAATATAGCTGATGAGGTCCAGAGGCTCCTGCAGGGTCTTGCTCATGTCAAACTGTAACTTCTCAATTGCTCCTACATACCTAACCCGGAACTCAGCGCATGTGTCAGACGCGCTGTTACCTATGAGAGCACACATATCAAACAATCAAATAGAGATAAAAGGGGAGGAATGGAATAGGAGGAAAGAGAGACAGAAGTCAAAATGGCTGACTTCAGTGAGATGGTAGGCAGACCTGAGCTCTTGGTGGAGTCTGTATCAAGGCTGGCGACAGTACTGGATCTAGAGAGCCCTCCCAGACTCGAGTCTACTGACTGCAGAGAGACAGAAACACAAGAGGGTGTCAGCTGAATTAAAAAGGAGCGCAGTGGCCTTGTACTACTGTTTCAGTGTGCGAGTGTGTGTGTGTGTGTGTGTGTGTGTGTCACTACCTTGCTTTTGGTGCTGATCTCACTGCTTTGTGAGCTGCTGCTGCTGTGGCGCTTTTTGACTTTCCGGAACATCCTTCACCATGACGACTGCATCCAGACCTCCAGCCCTGCTGACCT